CTTTGTTATTTTATGAAATAATAGCTAAATTTTACATCCTCTTTATGGCCTGGCCTCTCTCTTTTGTTTTGTTTTTTTTCTTCGTTTTTGTCCTCATCAATCGACTGTTCGATTAGCATGATCGGATGTAACTACGGATTTTTTCAGCCCGTAATTCGAGTAGATCACCGTTCAGCAGTTATGTTCCGATGAGCATCAGCATTAAAACTTGTAACAGATGAATAACATGGGGGCCTGCAAACAGTTCCTCTTGTATTGCTTCCTGATGTGATCACAACAGGATTTACAGAACGTATGGTTAGTTCTTTTGTTTTTCTTGTGTCATGACTTTTTTTACCGCATGAACCGGCTGAGAGTGTACCTTTAAAGACAAGAAATAAACTTTAATACTCCATGCTCTCGACAGAAAGTGACCATGGCATGTATGAATGCAATCTATTTTTCTAGTAAATACCTTGTGGGAATGCTTGTTGTAATATACAAAGCAATATCTTATACTGTAGGACGAGAAGACCTCCAAACAGCGTCAGGATTTCAGCCAGCGGGTCAAGCAACAAGTAAGAAATGATGTCGCCGCGAGGTTTTGGCTTTTTACCACTTTTTCGTCTTCTTGCTCAGGTATCCGCTCAGATAGAAAAAGCATTAGCTGAAGATCCTACCACATTTCAGTATGACGAAGTGTACGAAACCATGACCAAGGAGCGAAAGGACAAAAAGCAAGTTGCACAGAACGAAAAATCTAAGGAGGTAATGTCAGATGTTTTTTGTCTCTGTTTAGTTCCTTTTACGACCGTTAGTTTTTTAAGCCCAAATATGCGCTGAATCTCATACGAGCTGCAGTGAAGCGGCAGTTGGAAAACGAAGTGCGTGAAGAACGGAAGCAGGCGAAAGAGCGTTTAAACGAGGGTGATGAATTTGATGATAAAGAGGTTAGAACTTTTAATGAAGAAAACAGATTTGCTTTAATGAAGGCCTCTGCAAATTTTGTGATGGTTGTTTTGTAGATTCTTAATTTTCTTCGAGTTTACAGTTATTGTTCTTAATTCTGGAGCATTTTTGTGTAGGTTTTCGTGACGTCGGCATATCGAAAACGTCTTGAGGAACTGCGGACGTTTCGAGCTGAACTGGAATCAAAGGACCGAATCGATGGTAAGTTCTTCCGGTTTGAGAGCTATGGATGTTGCTGTGAAACAAAAAAATCAAACAATTGTTCAGTGTGAAGACTCGCTTTTTTGATTGCCTTACTAACGAGTTTCTCGAACAGTCTAAAAATATTCTAGCGAAACATATGCAAGTGATAGAATTATGAATTGATTTAATAAATGCATAATTCCTCCACTCCAGATTGCCCACCGTTATGGCACTACCATTTTGCAGGTGCCTCCAGAGTTATTTAATGCAATAAGGATTGGCGGCTTGTGAAATATCATTATCAGTAATATTGCTACAGCAGAATCAGTATCACTAAACCATTAATAATTGAAAACCACGATGGCCTGTGACTATTCGAACAAGGTTAGTATTCAAATGTTCATAATAATTAGAGTTTTCATACAGAGATCAACTTAAGGATTGATGTTCACTTTTTTGTAGCTATCTAATGACTGGACGTTTGAAATTTCACTGTTTGGATGGAATCGCGAAACAAATCCTCTTTCAACAATGACATTAAGTAGTATAGTGGAATATGTAATATATCCAAAAACAACGCAGTAATAAATTTATCAAAGTCTAAATAGCTCAGTATGAAAAAATCAAAATTTTTTAGTTTAGGCAAGTTGAGTTGCTATCTGCAACACAGTAACATTTCCATAGAAGCGTGGAAAAAACCTAAACGCCTTGGACGTCGCGACTAAAAACTTTCTTCATTACAACGTTTCTGTTCCTGCAGATTCCTTGACCTGCATTGCATGATAAAAAGCGTTAACCTTCTGATATAAAAAATAAAAAAGATGAAACGGCTTATTTGCACTTAAGTGCAAGGTACCGCTGTCATCCATCAGCAGCCCGATGCCAGATCGATATTGACAAGGGGTAATAGCTCTTTGTTTGACCATCGAAATCTACTCGGCCGACTTAGACCTTCATGAATGTCCGGTGAATTACGACGTGCAAAGTTTTACAGATAATCTCGAAACTTCATTTGGTAGAAGGACCATTTGTGCATTTTGGTTAACATCGACCGTTTCTTGTCAGATCAGTCTTGGCGGTCTATTAGATTGACTCTTAAGTTCCTGACAGTGTGAGCACGTTTGAGCACTTCGTTCTCAATCATTCTTTGTTCAGCCCCTGACAACAAACATTTTGACCTAATAGTATTTGTCATGGCACAGACCATTTAATATCTCTTACTGTTAATTTGCAGAACGTTGAGATCTATCCACTGCTCGATCTTCACGACGATTTAAAATTAATTCGGTGTAATCACCTTATCAAACAAGTATGGCGAGCTTTTGACATCATTCTGACTCAGTAAAACCGGAACTACAGCGTTGTGTTTATGTGTGCGTGCGTCCGGACATATTTACATGTGTGTGGTCATCATCGTCAGAGCGGTTTG